GGTGCCGGGAGGGGCTCTCGCCGCGGTGGTGCAGAGTTGTCCTTGGGGCCTGAGAAGGACCGGGAGGTGGGCGCGGGGCAGGAGGGCAGCCCGGCAGGTGGGACCCGCGCTGTCCCTCGTGGGGGCGGAGAGAGGACCCCAGTGTCCCCGGCTGTACATCCCCAGCCGCTGGGACCCACGGTGTCCCTCGTGGGGGCGGAGAGAGGACCCCAGTGCTCGCGTCTGTGCATCCTCAGCCGGTGGCCTTCCTGGCTTTCCCCGTTTCCGCGACGGGATTTGCCTAGTGTGGATTTTCCCGCACACCGGTTTGCTCGCGGGTTGTGGAGAGAAAATAACGTAGCGAGAGCTGGTCCTGATCTTGCCATTCATTTAATGCTATATTTCAAACCCGCTTTCCTTGGAGAACTGGATAAGATTGTGCCCTTTTAAATCAAAATGGATTAAGGAAAAATTACTTGAAAAGTTGTGACTAAAATTGTCCTCCAAGTTATATAACTCCCAGCTGATGCTGAATGGAGTACTGAGCCAGTAGTGTCACTAATCGCAAGTATGCACCGAGGTCACGGTGTTCCATTTCTTTGTCCGAAGTGACAATAAGCTGCTCAGAGCACGATGTCACACCATAGAACACCTTTTATGAAAGGATAACACCATGTCACACCATAGAACACCTTTTATGAAAGGATAACACCATGTCACACCATAGAACACCTTTTATTAAAGGATAATAGCGTGTCACACCATTGAACACCTTTTATGAAAGGATAATAGCGTGTCACACTGGAGAACACCTTTTATGAAAGGATAACACTGTGCCACATCATGGAACACCTTTTATTAAAAGATAATAGCGTGTCACTCCAAAGAACACCTTTTATGAAAGGATAACACTCTGTCACACCATTGAACATCTTCTATTGAAGGATAACATTGTGCATGTCACACTGTAGAACATCTTTTATCAAAGGATAACACTGTGAGTGTCACACCATAGAACATCCTTTGTCAAAGGATAACACCATATCAGACCATAGAACATCTTTTATCAAGGAGTAACACCATGTTATATCACAAAACAACTTCTACTGAAGTGTGTTTCTTTATGTCATTATATTTATCACAGTGGCTTTTTAATTGGTTATGACTTCAGCATGTGCTCCTACTTGCAAGTGTACATGTAAATAAAGTGCAAACCATGAAAAAATTCTATAAATGAAAATTAACTTGCTAAATTATTTTAACCTTGGTGATCTTTTCTTACAGGAATGAATTGGAGGAAATATGTGGTCTTTTGCTGATAGTTAGACTACATGATCGTAGCATTTTCCCTAACCCATATAAATTCACCACCTTTTTCAAGGCATCATGTTATTGGGCTTTCTGGTGAAGGATTAGGTTTTATGAATTGTGTATACTTACTGAGTTTACTTGGAGGTTGGAATACTGTAGGGATTAATTTCTCTGAAATAAGAGATTCTGTGTTTTTAAGACATAACAGAAAACAAATTCAACATGTCATCAGTCAAGCGCTTGGTTTATGCAGTCATCCATTTCTTGAGAGAACAGAGTCAAATGGATACTTTCACTCCAGATGAACAAGAAAGCTTGGAAGGTAAGCAACAAAGGTGCTTTAGTATCTTTTTATTTATATGTATATATACATATATATGTGTGTGTGTGTGAGTGTATGTATATAATACCTACAGGTGTTAAATTCCTTTATGTATAATATCACAGAAAGTAACTGGAGTGATGTAAATGAAATTGCCAGCAAATATTATCTGCAAATAAGATCATGATCCTAATGTTTCTGAGATTATTAATTTTAAGACATCTCTCATTTAAAAAGTATTATAAAGCTACAAATCTGTAGTGCCTTAATTTGAGCAGCAGGTACTTAAATCATATCAGTTGCAGAGCTCTTTCCCAACCTGAACAATTCTATGAGTCTAAGTTAAGCAGTGCTGTAATGCAGACACTGGTAATACTTCTATATGTGTACCATAAATTTCTGGTGCTTCTTCTCTCTTTCATGTTTGGTTTCTTTCTGCATTTCATATCTGTTAGTAGCTCTGCTGATTATAGAGGAAGTACAACAATTACTGTATAGGTTCTGGTTTATGAGAACTGCTTCCTACTTTCAAGGATTCCGTGTTATCTGTGAGAAAAAAGACATCCTAAGAAAATAAGATTAATTTCTTTCACTTGAGTACTGGTTCCAAAGCGTACATGGTAATGAATATTTTCTGTATAGTATAACTTCTATTATACACCCAAGTTTACCTTTCTGTAGACATATTCTGTAGTTCTCTATTGACAGATACTCATTAGGTCTTTGTAAACCTTGTAATATTTGATTTTCTCCTTCATACTGCTCTTTTTCCCTTTTCCTTCTTCCTGGAGACTTCATGCAGGTGGTATCAGAATGTGAAACTGAGAGAAGACTTAAGTCTTAACACTGCAGTAATTTTTTCATAGCATCCTTTAAAAAGATCTCTCTACTATTTCAAGCAGTCTCTGGTTATGTCTGTCAGCCAGAGGAGGAGTTTGGAGGGAGAAGTCTAGGACCAGCAGTGCAGTTGATCACTGAGTTCTGTGAAATCTTAGGCATGGAGAGACTTTGCTGAGATGCAAAGTAAGTCCTACTTCTCTGAGGCATAAATTAAAAACATGGAGTGTGCTTCTTTCTATTATCTATTGGTCATCCAGTGTAGTTGTTCACAAAAGTAAACAAGAAAGCTTTGTGTCATTATATTCAAAGGATAGTCCCAAAAGAATAAAAGCCAAAAGATTTGGTTTTACATTAGAATCTGAAGCATTTTGTACATTAGAAAAGCGGCAGTAATCTACAAATTTAACCTGTATCATATTACGATGATGTTCATCTGATGAAAGAAAACATGTTTTTGGAAATAATATATAATGAAAGATGAAGAGATTTACTTTTGTTTTTATAATGAAACTGGTAAACATTGGGTTACAGTTGAAAATTACCTAATAACATGTCTTAGAGCAGCCTTAGCCAATGTGTATATGAAAGAACCAATTTTAAGATTAAGTTTTCTAAATAAAAAATATTATGAAACCTTAGTTGTGCTTTAAGCCAATGCAAAATTTACCATTTTAATACAGATCTGAAATCCTATTTTTAGATTTGTGCTCTCCCACAAGCATGGTACCATATGCTATGTGTTAGAGAATAAGAGGCGGGCATTCTGAAAAATAGACTCATTTTAGTTGCGCAAAATATCTTTAGTGCATGCAGAGTAGCAATAGCCAAGTCTTACTCACTGAAGTGTTTAATGTTAGGTGGAGACATAAGGGATGAAAAGAATTGACTGATAGTTTTTGTTGGTACCTTATGTACCTACTTGGTGTCTGTGAAAAGACAAAACACTGTATCATTATGTGACTATGCCAAGAAGCAATTCCCATTTTCCATGAAACAACAAAAAAAGAGATAGAACATCACCCAAAAAAATTGAGCCTTTATAAAATACAAGTCTACGATGTATTCATACTCAATGATAACCTGCATACTGCATGTTTGAATTATATGGAAATGTCAATGAGAGAGTAAATTTCCTTTAGGAACTTTGTACTTGATGAATAAAATGCCTTATATTGAGAAAGCAGAGTAATTGGAAGGTAGATCAGAGAGAAATATATTCCCCTAGCATCTAGAGCAGTGATACAGATCCCTGGTGGTTAGTGCTCAACTCTTTCGTATGAACTAGAAACTTTCCTTTTTCCAAGTTATACTTTAAACTGTGTTTAAATTGCAGTTATTTCTCTTTCTTGTTTACAGGGTGGGCTATTTTTCTCTCTGTCCTTCTCATGTTCTTCTTTTCAATATCACCTGTTTCTGTGGGATTAAAGCAAGAACTCTCTACAACACATACAAGGCTGTGATTTTCTTCTTACTTCTATGATTGATGTACCACAACTAATTTCTGTAAGGGAGTGTTCCCAAAACAGGAAGGCAGTGAATGCATGTAGTATTTGACATGGGTAAGGTTATGTGTAAGATGAAGTAGGATAACAGCAAGTACTAAGGGGGCCTCAGCAGCCCAATTAATGCTCATTATTCAGCTTGCATGTTGGTTGTGATGCCTTCGTGTTGCTTGGTGATGCAGGCTTGTGTTTGGACAGCAAAAGTCCTGGAGCTTTGTGGCTCTGGGGATACAGAGCTGGGTTCCAGCATAGCCCAGGTGCTGGTACTGTCAGTGTTTGTGTGAGCCCCAGCTGTTCCGCAGTGGTTTGCAAAGTGATCACTTCAAGCTTCAGCCACCACCTAGGTGGATGATGATAGAGCCGATTGTGAGAACAGATAACTTTGGGCTTTGATATCAAGCTTTGGAAAAATCTTTGGTGAGTAGCTCACATAGTGCATCAAGTCTTGCCCTGATAATATCAAGCTTGCAGCATTTGACAGTTCCTCACTTTCATAAATGGGATAGCAAGGTGCTGGCAGGCTGGCCTCCTAGAAAACAGGCAAAAAACAAGTTTCCACTCCTTTGACTTTACTGGAGTCATGTTTTTGTGGAGTGTTAAAACAAGTAGTTACCCATCTTGTCACAACTATTTTCTGATTTGAAAATGTTTCTGTTTAGCAATGTTTATTTCTATGTGGGTTTCCATTGTTGGCTTGCATTTAGCCAGCGTTTATTCTAACCTATTGATTCATCCTATAAGAGGTCCTAATTTTATTACATATGTGATAGATAGAAGGATTACATATTCCATTTTCCACTTAAAGGACGAATATGGGAATTCACAGCACCAGCTAATTATTTGATGAAAATGCTGAGTACTAATAATACTATAGTTAGAACAGTTTTGTTTACAGACAGTGTGCACTGTCGCATTTTGTGTAAGTCTATATCATAAAGATTTGGTGTCATAGATTTTATGCCTTGAGAAAGATAAGGGATGCCGTTGTATTTAAAATTTATGCAAAACTACAAATGAGGAGATGCATTCAGAAAAAGGAGAGCCTTTCCGTAAAAAATTATACTGGCAGGGAAAATTAGTAAGTAAACTATTGCAAGTGGCTTCCTCCTAAGTCATACAAGGAAAAATTACTTGTGTTATTTCAATGATTTTATAATTGGCCTGGTAATAAAAAGTACTATTAAGGGTTTATATACATTTAGAAATGCAGCATAATCTGTGTTTATAAGAATTAAGTTCTTCACATAGCAGGAGACAAAGGAGTTTAATCCAAATCCCTCAGTGCTCTTACTGGGTGATTTAGGATCTGATCAATTGATTTATAGATTGTAAGAGCAACCTGTATGTCTATTTAGCAGTGTATTCAATTCTTACATGTTATCAGCTTTAACTTTGTGGTGTGCTATACTGTTTGTAAGACAGTTCTATTATATCATTTCTTAAAAAAAATTACATCTTCTAGGTTTTACAGATCTCTTCCCCTCCACTTCCTGCTAGCTGTGACATAAAAGATAAAAACTGGCCTTACTGTTGTTAACCTGCAGTAATTTTACTTTTCTAGTTTTCAATTAATGTTCAGTTTCATTGTTATGCAAATAATAATTCAAATTATATTTATTATATTAACATTGGATTGAGGATAAGTTTAAATACGAAGAATCTGCTTTTACTGATACTTAATTTGAATTCAGATACTCCTGGTTGTCCATAATCTCTGTTAAAACAGCTATTTTTCTGTTCTGTTTCTCTGTTGTAAAGCTAGGCTTTACAAAGACCCTTCTTTGTTCCTCCTCAGTTTTCAGTCTAAAATATTTAGATACATATTAATAAAAACATTGTATTAGGTTCTTAAGATTATAGGGAAAATAATTATGTCATTTGCAATAGTGTAACTGTGTGTGTGTGTACATATATATATGTATGTATATAGACAGAATTGTATATAGTAGTTGCCACTGATCTTCTTTTGTCTAAAAATATGAGCGTATTTAAAACTTCAGCTAAGGATATGGCTCTGCATTTTTAGGTTTACTGTGAGTGCATTTGCATTACTGCAGGTTTGGAAGGGCCATTTAAATCCTTGACACAGAACATGTGAAAGGATATTGCACATATATTTTTTATAGTATAAAGTTTTGTGATTAATAGAGCATGTGATTAATAAAGTGTCTTCAAATAAATGTTTTATTCCAAAAAAAAAGGTAATAGTAGCAAGTAGCTTGCCTTTATTCTGTACGGTAAAGATAAGCCATTTTCTTCCAGCTGTAATGGCACACAAATATATGCCAGCTGTGTGCTTTGAGGTGGGCTGTATGACACATGGACATTCACAGTTGTATTATGAGTTGTGGTGCTTTTGTTAAATCACTTTATTTTTTATATTTAAAAAAAAATAAAGTACTGAGAGAACTAAAGTTAAATTTTAAATTGGTTTAAATATAATGACCAAGCTATATGTGGATTGTCTATATCTTAGATCTTTTTTGGCAAGTGAATTCTGTGACGATCAGGTAACCTCTCTTTATTTTTTGATATGTTCCAAAGAGCTGCTTTTACTAGCTGAATAAGAAAGTGAGCCACAGCTTTATAAATAAATTAGTGAAGTTATGCTTCTATTGAGAAACTGGTGACTTATGTTATTAATTTTTTTCCCCTGTAAGTTGCAATTCAGTGTCTGGAGACTGTGTTTAAGATCACCCTGGAAGATACTCATCTTGCATCCTCACAGCATTTGATAGAAATGTTCGCAAATTCTATTCAAAAGGTAAAAATTTAATTTAGATTCTAGAGTTGCTCTGTCAATATGTACTAAGGTTTCATATTGTATACAAAATATTAAAGTGCTATATAGGTCAAAATTACGTGAAAAATTAAGGAAAATATGAAAAAACTACATTTCTGTAAAAGCTAGCATAATGTGGATCTTTGGGGGCAGTGGGAGGAATTCATTACAGCTAGACAAGGAAAATTCCATACAGAAAATTACTGAAGAGTGGATGCCTCATTCTCACTTGAAGTTTTTTATTCTTAATTTAAACATTTTGCAATTCCCAGAGATAAAAGCCTGATGTGCCTGAGGTAATTCGTAGTTTGCTGATGCTTCTAACTTCTTTCTGAAAGTTTTTGATAAAATCAGGGCTTATATATTAAAGGAAAAAAACTTGGATTTTTTCCCATACAGAATGAGATGCTGCCTCTCTCGCGTACTTTACCAGAGGGTGTTGTAAAGGCTGACCAACTGAAGGATGAAGGTTTGTAATAAAAACAGAAATAAATTGCCTTATGCATTTATTATATTTTTGCATTGTTGTAGGTAGTGATAGTACAGCAGCTGGGTAGCACACACCCCACAAAAAAAACTTCAGTTTACAGATTCTCAGATGACTGCTGTGTCATAAGAGGGCTAGGTGATTTGTTTCATCCAGAAGCAAAGGAAATAATGTTTATTGTCTTCCAGGCTCTGGAGGTTGCTTAAAATCTATGGGATAACATGTAAAGTTGGAAACATTCCTAAGTAGCAGAAGCTTTAAATAATGAACAGATATTGTTTGGCTGTTTGTGCATAGAATTGCTAATACTTATAATTTCTGCTTTTATTGAAATGGGTACGTGATGTCAAACACTAGTAAAAAACTGACCCAACAGAAACCAATGGAAAAATTCTTGTGATCTTACTAGGGTTAGTATTTCACATATGTAAAATTATTTGTGTCCTTTATAAAAATTGCAGACAAGCCAATTGTTTATTTTTCCTTTGGCAGCTGTTACTGCTGTTATATGAGGAAAAGCAGCTGTTCTATAGAAGTCACTAATGCTGCCTAAGAAGGAATCCCTGTTATTTCCTGTCAAAAAGAAGGGGAGGGGAATGGAAAAAAGCATTTTGCATTGATAATTGTTATGGATTGATGCTTTATGAATCTCATTGTTTATGACGTGTTAGATTTTCAGGCAGTTGAGTTTTATAGGAAAAATAAGTAAACTTCTAATTGCAAGGTAGATATAATCCTCTCAAAACTTCCATAACAACGTGGAAGAAGTCCTACTGTTTTTCAAAATGAATTCCATGTCTCTTTTACCTTAAAACTGGTCACCTGCAACCATAAATGCAGTCTACTACTGGCTCTGAAAGTACATTTTCCTAATTATTGGAGTTGCTTATTAGCTCTTTAATTCTGAGGATGAGAGCTCAAACAGGGTTGGGTCACAAGTGAAAATGTGTTAGTCAGTTGTAATCTACCTGCTGTACATGCTGGCTTTTTGTTTTGCTGTTACTGCCAACTCATGGAAAGTGAAGAGTATCTCTAGGTCTCTGGATGGTTACTGAACTGTTGGTACAGTCAGCACTTTGCAGGCATTGGTGTTACAGCTGTTTTAAATCTATGACTTCAGTCTTGCTATCTTTCAGTCCACAAGGGTCTGTGGAATAGACTGAGAAAATGAAATTAGCATGTGCTATGTGTTAGTCTTTGCATGGTTTTACCAAAGTAATTCCACATCTCTACTGAAAAAATTGTAAGGGTCTAAACTTTAGAAAAGGACCAATTACAGTGTCATCTGTCAGGGGTATTAGTAAGCAGTTTTGAACTGCTTGAAATGCCTCTGGTAATTTCCCATAATAAAATGAAAACTTAGTGTCCTGCTTTCTCTGTTATTTTGATCCTTATAACTTTGATTTCCTCATTTCTGTCTGTATGCACTTACCAGTGGCATACCTTCCCTTACCTTTGTGGCCACCACAAGCCTGGTCCTCCTCTGGTCTCAAACCAGCCCTAATATTTGTAAAAATTGGCTAATGAATGGCAAAACAAAATCAGGGAGCTGAATTGTCTTTCTTGGTAACCAGGAAGTAATATACCCTTCAGACTATTCAATACTTGAATTTACTTACCTAACCTTGTATATCATTTGACAATTTGGCTTAGTATAAAATGTATAAAGAACACAGATTGTGTGGAGGTTTTTATAGTGTAAAGGTGGCTTGACCATAAGAAAATCTGTGTTTTATTACCACAGCATAATTTTAACAATAAGATAGTATTTTCACTATAGAGGACACATATTCAAAAGCATAACCATTTGTGTAATTTTTTGTCTTAAGGATTTTGTATGATATTAAAATAGAATAATATAGTTGCTTTTCCTTATCTCAGCAGAATTAGTAGATATAGCTATTTTTCTGTTTTCCTTTAGCAAGGTTGCAGCTGGAGAGAGAGATAACAAGAAGGGTATGCACTGATACTATCTCCAACTTAGCCTTGTACCCTAGGTCATTTTCAGACCAGTATCAGGAATTCTAACTTTGATAGTAATTGATGGCATTTTTTAAAGGAACACTAACTGTTGCAATCTTGCTGAGTGCAACTAACTTGGAAGGCTTTTTTGTCTGACAACATAATTCAGTGTACAGATCTTTACCTTAGAAACAAAGGAAAGCTTGCGTAAACAGTGGGCATCTAGAAACAAGAAAGATATTCTGTGTGTATTTTGAAGGTATACATGCAAGCACAGTTTGTTTGACTTCTCACTGGGACTGCTAACTATAATTACAGTCTAGTATAGCACTATTAGAGGATGTGATTTTGTACTACTTTGATGATACTTCATTACTTGAATCTGGTTTTGTTCACTAAGCTCTCTATGTTCACAAAAAAATGCAAGTACAGTTGTTTTAGTTAGTGCAAGCACTGAGGGCTTGCTCCACAATCTTCCTTCCTCTCAGAGATAAACTCTTGCACTGACCTAACTTTTCTAGCCTTTGCTTACGCAGTTACCTACATCAGTAGTAACTTATTGACCTATCCCTTGACTTGTTTATTTTAGGAGAAGGTTTAAATATCTGGCCGAAATACAAGAAGTCAGTGGAAGTCTATAATTTTCCTGACAATTTCTTGACATTTCTAGGAAGCCAAGGCTTCTGTAGGATCTAGCTAGCCAAAAATTGGTAGTAGCAGGACCACAGACAAGTTTGGGCACTCTGAACTAGGGTTTTTTACTACTGTGTCATCAGGAAAGAGAGAAACTACCAGGATTGCCTTGTGCTGGGGACAAAAGAAGGTATAAGGTGTCTTTTGCTTTGAAAGACCTTAGTCCAGAATTTTCTGTCCATAGGGAAGTTACATTTTCTGGATTTTTTTCCACTGGACTTAAAATATAAGTGCAATATGTGAAACTTTGTTACAGAGTAGAAGTTCTAAGCTTCCTTGGTGATAAATTTTACTTTTGAATCCTTTCAAATTGCTTATGCTATACATACTTTTCATTATCTTCATGAGTTAATTATGTAGTATTACAAAAATGGGGCTCATGTACTTAGTTTTACTTTTGTTTGATTTTTTTAGTGTTATTTAGATACAAGCAATTTGTTGGAACATACATGAAAATGAGATTAAAAAATTAATACAGCATATTGGGCTTGTAAAGATAGTTAAGACCGATGAATGTATACTAAAGTGGAACTGCAGTTACAATGACACTTCTCAGTGAAGTGATCTTTCCTTAACAGCAGAAACTATCTGGAAAGTCTGAAATACCAAGATAAAAAGAGGAACATTTCTATGATATACCGCAATGTACATAATAAACTTCACAGACATAGTAGATATTTTTATTTGCATTATCCTATGACTTTTCTGTTAAAAAAAAAGTATCTCAAAAAAGTGCAGTTGAAACTCCCTTAGATAGATGCTATAAGGTAGCTGCTCTGTTTCTTTCATACAGAGCTGTCTCATCTAACTATATACTGTCTCATCTAATTTCTTAAGAGCTTTTTATAATTTATTTCAGGTAATAATCATATGAAGGAAGAAAATTATGGTGCTGCAGTGGATTGTTACACTAGGGCTATAGAACTGGATCCAAACAATGCAGTCTATTACTGTAACAGGTAAAACCAAAATGATACACACCTTTAATTCCTGGACTTTGTTAACATTATTTTAAAGATAAATTGTGAAGTAGGTCAAAGTAATATGAGGCTAGAAAGCCCACTATTTAGAATTTGATTGTTAGATTTTGAAAATTAGAGTGAAAGCAGGCTCATTCAGGATATCTGTATCAGTTAAAATGTGCTTAAAACTTACTTACAACTTTTCAGATCAGGTATTGTGTGCGTCAGGTTGTCTATATTAAATCATAACGTAGGCTAGGATTTCCAGCCTGCTGAGAGTAGTAAAAGCCTTTTTCTCTGGTGTTCTAGTGACTCAGCTGCTCTATCTCCTCAAGTACTAGCTACCTCTGGCCAAAAAAAAAAAAAAATCAATGTGGGAATACCATTTTGGAGATTTCAAGCATTTTGTAAATACTCAGTATTTTCTTGTGTGACCTGTTGAGAAATAACAATGCTGCTGTTACAGTTTTCTTATCTAATCTGTTCTTTACCATCATGAATGAAGAAGACAGTGATTTGGCAGCAGGTAAGCTTGGAAGGGCATGTTAACCTAGGCACAGCTGTCTGCTCTTGCGGAACACTGCCTGGATGACAATCCCAAGAGCAAAGGCAGTCTCAACTTTAGGCCCTACTGGAATGAGCCCACCTCTAGAGTGTCCCCATTATTAATTTAAGGATATACTAACTGTGCTGTCAATCTGGCTTTGTGGCACTGTATCCTCTGGATTATGCTATTTTTGAAGCTCTGTGTCCATAGCTCCAGAGTTTAGTTTGTCATATACAAATAGTTTGTCAAATAAAAATCAAAGATTCAGTGTTTAAAGGCAAGTTCAAAGAGAAAGGAAATGATGCCATTTGCTATCATTTTACATATTTAGGATGGCTGTTCAAAAGTGTCAATCATCTATATTCTTGTGAAAACTGATCATGAGTCACTTCACGTATAAAATGGAAATACCAGACCAGATTCAAAAGCTTCCCAAAATCACTGGAATCACTCAATACGGGCTTAAATATCAAAGTTGTAATTAGCAAGAGCAGAAATAATTTTTGTGTTGCATCATCACATACTGTATTTGTGAGAACCAAAATTAATCTTGATGTCAGTCAGTACAGTATTGTATGTAATTATTTAAAAGAAAACAAGAGTTGTTTGGATTTTTGTGGATGATAGTGCATTTCAATAAATATACTTTATTCTTATCATAAAGTTTGTTTGGGAGCCGTGGGGACATGCTGAATTCAGAGGGATTGCTTTTTATCCATAGCAGTGCAAAAAAGAGTGGGCTGATATGCCCTCAGAATTTTAACTGGCCATGTAAATCTTCTTGTGAACATGGAAAAATGTGTTCTGTTCAAACACATGTGACAAGAAGCATTGCCCCCAGCTTTTATTTATAAATCTTCACTGGCATCTGTGGAGTTGGACACCTGTTAAACAGCCCAAAATAGATAAGTAGTCCCATTCAGAAGACATTTTAATCAAAAGCAGAAAAGCTCATGCAATTTGGGGCTAATCACAGCAGAAAGGAATCTTAATAAAAAAGAGATATGCTTTATGCAATGAAAATATTGTAATTTCTACCATATTTTTTAACCAAGGAAGAATAAATGAGAGTGGCTTGAGACCTTTCAAGGTCCCTGGTGAAGTTTTGATTATTAATGTGTTTTAATGTCCTTTTTAGTTTGGTCAGATTTTTAATCTTACTGTATTAATATCTGCAACATTTAGTATTTCTCCAATATAGAGATGCAACTGTAATTTAGTCATGCAGAGGTTATTGAGAAATGTTATTGTGATTTACCTACAACCTTGAGTTGACTTCTAAAAGCCTGAGCAGGGAAAAATCACAGCCTTCCTTTGAATGGTTGTAAATCAGTACTTCTTGCTGGAAAACACCAATTGTATAAAGTATTTATCCTTAAACCGTGCTTTTATGTAAACTGCTACTTGACCGTTTCAATTCTTGTCATAGTTTTTGTGATTTATTTTGTGCCTGGTCATATGCTAGATCTTAGACAGTTCCTTGGAATTATTTATCCTTTGTGTCCTCGGAGGTGAGTGCATGTTCTCTAAAACCATAATCCAGCAATGCACTTAGGCACATACTTATAACATTTGCTTGCCCTGCTTCTTTAAAGAAAGTTAAGCATAGCCTAAATAATGAATGAAAAGTCAGTAAGATTAAATAAGTCACAAATGTGTGAATATCTAGGCTTGTGGTTTGGTTATTTTGTTTTAATTGCGTTTTTTTTTTTATTTGGCTTTGGTTTTTTGAGTGGTTTTTGCTTGTTTGTTTGATATTTTTTTTTTTTACTTAATTTTCTTACCATCTTTCTCTTAGGGCTGCTGCTCAAAGTAAGCTCAACAACTTCAGGGAAGCAATAAAGGACTGTGAGAGTGCCATAGCAATAGATCCAAAGTACAGCAAAGCATATGGAAGAATGGGGTAAGCTGATAGAAATCTGAATAAACACTGAAGACCCAGGTGTACATCACCATAGATTTTCTGAAATAAAACAACCCAGGTTGTTTTATTCAGTTACAGAACACTGTTGTTGTGTAAGTATAACAGTTTTCTGAAGATGACCCTATCAGACAGTCAGCTCTTTTTAGATGTGGTTGATATAAGCAGATTTCATCAGTTTGCAGATTTTTTCTTTCAGTTTATCAACTTACTGGATTTAGTTTAGGAAGTAATGATGGCTTTTTTTCTACCTCCTAATCAGTTACAAGTAATCAAAATTCTGCTGTTGGAACACTGAATCTGTCAATCATGCTGTTGGAGAACAGCACTGGGGCTTCACCCTAGCAGGAATAAAGCCTTAATTTTCCTTTTTCATAGCTCTTTGGAAGCAGATATTTTAGGAAGAATAACCTATGTCTCTTTGGCAAGTTTTCTCAGCAATGTCTGAGAGATTAACTGTAGTGTCTTGAGGGTGGTTTTAAGTGTTACCTGAAAACAATGTCAGAAATGCTCTAACAGGCTGTTGGTTTGAGTGAAGGGCCATTCTTCCAAGATGTCTAGCTTTGCATTTTGAATAATCAAGAGCATTGTGATAGTGGACTTAGTGCTGCATATGTCTTTTGAGGTTATATTTATACCAGTAATTTCAAAAATGCTTGGGATTGTTTGTTGAATCAGTTGGCAAAAAATGGCTCATGTCCATGTTACTAAACTTAAGTTTGCAGTATAGAGTGGCCACATTCAAACAACCTACTGCTAAACTGCATTGGTCTGTTAAGTTCTGAACCCTGTCCTGAAACTACCTGTGATAGTTCTTGTTGGCCTGTGACAAAACTGTGCAGGGGACATTTATTTTAAGTTAAAATGTAGTTGAATTCTAGAACTTAAAAACTTTCCATAATACAGTTCAATTTACTAATAGTAACCCATACTAAGAAGCTTTTGAACTGATTAATTAATTTAGAAATTTTAGGTTGAATTGGTTAGTGAATTGGTTTTATTTCATTTAACTCTCCTTAGATTGTTTCTTCATATAGCACAATCCAAGCTCCCTTGACTTCACCAATATTAAGGGATGTTACAGGCAGATTTAATTGGAGATGGGAGGCTATTTTAGAGTTTTGGGTATAAGACAAATATTTCTTTGATACACACTGAAAGTGGGACCATTCTCAAGCAATCAAGATTCTCTCTATTTTAATGTCTGGTTGTTTTAATAGAGGACATATTTTGAGCTACAAGCCATTGCTTAACTCAGCAAATGAGTAAACATTTGGGATAAGCTGAATGAGGAAACTCTGCTTGTTTAGTAATAAGAGAAAATCCCACCTCTATACCCCTGTATATAGAAAACACCATTTCAACAAAAAGTCCCTACGAAAAAGATGTGCTCTATGACTGCTCTATGGAGACATATCAGTTTTTCTCAGAATTTGACAGAAATTCTTTATATGTCACAGAAAGTTGCAGAAATTAGACAAATATACAGAGATGGGAGCCATTTTAAAGTGGGAATGTCAGTTAAAGGCAGAATTCCAGCATTATCCTGGAAGACCACTTCTCTGTGTAGGAGGTGTGAGGAAAGAAATTATCTGCTCTTCTGACTTGCATGTGCTCCAAGAAACTTTCTCTGTAAAATCCTTTTTCTGTAAATAGCACTGTTGCATCACAGAAATAATGGATTGCATTTTGTGTCTGGTCAGAAACTATTTTGACAAGTTAATGGGCCAAAAGGTATACTGCTCTTTTTAGGGCTAAGTGAATTAATTCCAAATGGGTTCCTCCAGGAGCAGTGTTGGAAATTCCTGGAGCTTTATATTCCTACTGAGAGTGATGACAATCACAGATGTATCTAAAACACTGTATTTATTTGCATGAGATGAAAGACCAAGGTCTGTTAGTTGGCATAAGCACAGGCTTATCAACCCAGGCTGTGTGGCTCAGCATCAGAAGGTGAACTGAAGTACTAAATAGCTGAATGTGGGTTACACAAATCTTTTACAAAATATGGAAAAGATCAGTTTCATTTTTTGGTCAGTATAAATTGAAAATATAGTAGCAGATAGAATTCAAACTTCAAGATGGACTTCCGGAACAGTTCAAAGAAATATGGTATTAAATATATTAGCTAATCAGATTTGAAAACCAGTACTGCTTAGAAGTAGTAGGTCTGTCCTGTGCTCTCATGAGCTGCAGGAGCAGTCTTTTTTCAAAACATCAAGTAGGCTTCCCTAATACAAGGGTTTCTTACAGCATTTTGCAGATATTACTACTATGCTGTATAACCCATTTGTCAAGTACAAGATCTGAAAGGAGAACCTTTATATTGATCCTGAGACAAAAATCCATTATGCTGGAACTTGTACATCCAGTATTTTAAAATAATGATAATACTAATAATAAAAAAAATTTTATATAGATGTATAAAGACAACAATATGGTTATTAAACATCTTCTATATTAAAATATTTAATAAAATTATATATATTAAAATACATATTTTAATATATATTTATATATATTTATATATTTTATATATATTTATGTATATATTGAAGTATTTATATATATATAAATAATGTATTTGTAGCTCCATTTTCTTAACACTGCATAACTCATATTAAGAGTATCTTTGCCCTACTTACATATTTAGAAATGTAAGTTTCTAAATAATCTCTTGGGTCAAAAGAACTGGAAAAAACTCAGAGCTTATGCAAAAAGTCACAGATGCTGGATCTAGCTTGTGCTCTTAAAGTGACTAAGTCACTTGAAGATACCAAGGAGTTTTTAATGGAACTTGCATATATATATAAAATAGACAGTGCAAGATGTGTTCTTGAGGGATCTCTTTTTCTACAAAAACAAGTGCTTACACTAAGCAGTAGTACCACAATAGCATAATCTGTTTTAATTAAGTGGTCAAGCTAAAAATCAGTTGTGAGATACCATTTTACTTAGAACAGAAAATGGATCATTAGCTTTTGATGATCATTTATGTTCTAACCAGGATTTCTTTTATTTCACATTAGGTTGGCTCTGACCTCAGTGAATAAATATGAAGAAGCAGTTACCAGTTATCAAAAAGCACTGGATCTTGATCCAGAGAATGACTCTTATAAGTCAAATTTGAAAATAGCAGAACAGAAACTAAGAGATGTGTCCAGTCCTGTAAGTTTTTTTCTGTATCTTTTTATTTACAATAGTTTTAACTGGGATTTTGTAGGAAACTTAGCTTCAATTGCAATTTGTTTGTAGACTGGAACTGGACTGAGTTTTGACATGGCAAGCTTGATAAACAATCCTGCCTTCATTAGTATGGTGAGTATATCTCAAGGTTTGCGTTATCCCATTTTAAAAAACTGAACTTTTAAGAACAAATGTTGTTCAGTAACACAAGCAATTTTAATGGTTATTATTATAGCAATGGTTTTATTACACTGAATTTCAACTTTTCTACATCATTTTACACTCGAAAGAAAAAGTGAAGCATGTATCTGCAATAATCCAGCTAATTCTCTGTTACAGGAAAAAAACACACATAGGTTAGCTATGCTGTTTTTATGTATGATATGACAGTAAAGCTCTTGTCAACAACATGATGAAAATTTCTCAATTCTCCACAGAGCACTTAAAAATTATACAAGGATTAAAGTAACTCTTCTTTGGAAGAACAACCCAAGAGACTTTTCTCTTTTTACTCTTTCAAATTATCCCTAATAACCTTAAGAGTTTAAAAAAAATAATATAAATAGCATATAGTGTGTTCTTTTATGTTCAGTACAATAACAAATTATGCATTTATCCCTCAGTATTTTTTTTTCCACATCGATTTCTTAGCTAAATTGAATTAATAAACTTTGTAGAATGAAATTTGGAGAAAAATAAATGAAAAAAAAACCCACAAAAAACAAGCCCCAAACTTACTTAATTTAAGAAAGCAGTTAAAACTTTATAAGCCCTCTGTCAGCTTCACTGGAACAGCACATTTCAACCAGTGTTTTGTGTGGAAGTACGCTGCATTCAAAAGAGATCCGTACATCTCATTTGATAAAATGGTCCAAACAATAGACATAGTAGGCAAGGAAAGAGGGAGCAAGTTCTCTGATGGCATTCATGATTAAATAGCACTGGAATTCTGTAATACTTCAGTGGCCACATGATGTACTTAAAAAAACCTGTGTCTTTTTAGAGTCAGTGATGTATGGCGATGGCCGTGGGGAAAGGATCTTTTACACTGTTTCCAGAAGATGTCTAGTGAAGTAGATAGAACACAGGGCATTTATCCAGGAATGAATGAGTTATTTTCCCAAGGTGTAGTTAATTGGTTCTTTTGTTAGGTGAAAAAATTGCCTCACTGTCTGATCTTGACAAAATTACTTGTAGTCTCTGTTTTTGGCCCCTTAACTAGATAACTGATGGAAGAAGCTAACACTATATTGAGCACAGAATTGACCTGCATGGGACATTTTGTATCTAACTATTAACTAGGTTGATTTACTTTGGAGCTATCTATATATGTTGATATATTGATCAATAAAATGAATATTGGATATATCTGAATTTTGTAGTATCTTTAATAAGAGAGTTAAGAAGCACATACTGTGTTTTGTCTATCAGTGGTATAGTCATACAGACACTGATTTCTGTAGGAATTACTTTACTAACATTGAAAAATCACATGTTTTTTCCTATAGTATTAGTCCGTAGACACCCTTACACTATGGTAAATGCAATATAGTTTTAGAGGTATCTAATAAATGAGAAATTTAAATAGCCTCATGCTTACTACAAAGTAAGAAGATATGCAGTTACCGGAGAAGATATATGTTACCACAAAACCATGCTATAAAGTAAGTTCACAGTGGTTTGATCCAAAATATTTTGTGGCCATAATCTTAACTCTTAATGCCTGGTACTAATAATAGTTATAAAATTAATTTATCCAGGCTGAGAAGCAACAAAATACAGACTTTTGTCGAAAAAGTCCAGTAGAAGACATTTGTCCTTGCAATTCTTTAGTGTTTCATTTGTTTGTTTAGTTTTCTGGTACTGGGTTTTTTATGTTAAATGGCTTGCCCCATTTTTCATGTCTGAATCTGTAACCAGTATTTTTTCTTTAACACATAACAAATTGTATCAGCTTCATTTCCATAAAATACATTGCTGTAGTGATTCTTTTTGCTCTGCATGTAAATTTAATTTTGTAAATAAAACAGAATGCAGCATGTGGGTTTTTTCCTATGTTTTTGTAAGTGATAGCCAAGTAGTAAATGTTTTATAATTTCAGCTGTATGTTGTCTATTCTAGGCAGCAAGCTTAATGCAAAATCCTCAGATTCAACAACTGTAAGTATTAAAATGGGGTACCATTAAAACAAATGTGTTCAGACATTTAATTGATAAAAGATGTCTAGTACTTATAGCTATATTTTTGAAATCTAGATATTTTACTGGAAATGTAATTTTATTTTGTTTACTGTAAAAGTGTAGTTTCTTCTCCTTGCAACTTAGTTCCTCAGCAATTCAAAAAAAGAACTGGAGCTTATTGCTTACAGTAAAGGTCCCTGCATACCCCAATACCAACACTGTGTTAACTGTTCCAGGATGTCAGGGATGATGTCAAATGCCATTGGTGGCCCTGCTGCTGGGGTTGGTGGCCTTTCGGATTTGTCCAGCCTGATCCACGCGTAAGTAAGAACTGCAGTTTTAACTGTCACATTTGTAGTAGGGTAACTGCAACATCGATTTCAAAGGGTACAGTGTCAAATGAATTATAGGGTGATCTATTTCCAGTGTTTGTTATTAAAACAAAGAACTCAAAGACTTGTTTTCCAGGACCTTGTTTGTTTGCTCTATACATTTCCATCAACTGGAATGACTGAACTGCTGTGTGCTCAGCTTCACTTTCTGGTTCTCATATGTTATCTTCCAATGCCACTTACTAAAAACATTCCTTTAAATCTTTTAAGTATTCCTACATGTGCTTTCAAATTGTGTGGATAAATTTACTACCTGGTATCTCAGATACTAATTAGGAAAATTACGGATTTACTTAGCACAAGTCAAATCAATTTCTGCTCTGGCATCCCTTCATTTAGATGAGGAATGTTTCAGAGAACTCAGTATAATGAAGAATACCAATACAGAAACCAAACCTTTTATACTATAGTGATGATATCCATCTGGAAGGGTCTGCACAAAAACATGCCATTTGCTTATATGCCAAGATCTCTTATAGGGCATACAATTTTACTTTATTTCAGCATTCTAGCCAATTCCAAACTATTTTTAAGTTTCAGTTATTCAGGGCAAAAGTAATTTACAGTTTACATCACAGACAGAAATGTCTCTGCAAAAATCTAGAGCTGTTTTCACAAAAAATGAGCACTACATAGACATCTACAAAAATCTGGCTTTCCTTCAACCTGCACTGTAGTTTGAAGGAGTCTTGATAGTCTGCCACTTGCACAAAATGTAGAAGAGAGGATGAGCTAGGCTTTTTGTGAAGTCATATTTTTTACTTATTTGTTTTTTATTAGTAAACAAGTGTTACACTTCTCTTCTACATGGAATAAGTCTCCCCTGTTAATTTAACTCTTAAGCTACAACTGTTACAGATAGATCTACTATTACTTCAGTCATGCAAGATATAAAAATTTGACAGTAATGCTTGCTTTCAACTAATAACATCTTGTTCAAAAGTACAAGTCAGCAACTGCTTACTGTATTTCTGGAACCATTAACATGAGGTTGCATGCCAACTCTAAGAGTATTTTAAACAGTTAGAGTGGATCCTCTCAAAAAGAAGGGAATAAATCAATGGAGCAGATGTGTTATTTTACCATAAAAGGTAATAGTAATAGTGCTAAAGAATGAAAATGAATTTATGATGATGATCCTGTTTGGAGACACTTTAACCAGATAAATTCATAATACTACAAATACCTTAAGACTGTAAGTTAAGATATCTTTTATCTTAATATAATACACCTTTCAGCTGTATTGGGATATCCTATTTTCTTACAAATGCTACTTTCACTTACTGATTTCACTTAAAATTGTTCAACACAGGGGGCAGCAGTTTGCACAGCAGATTCAGCAGCAGAATCCTGAGCTCATAGAGCAACTGAGAAATCATATCCGGAGCAGGTATTTGAGTGGCAGCACTGAAGAACATTCCTGACTTCAAGGAGTCATGTGAATTGGAATGATATATAACCCCAAAATGCATACCATAGTTAGTAGCAAAAGCACCATTGTAACTCTTCTGCTTGAATAGAAGACAGAAAATTCTTCATGTGTGTTTGCAAACAAGAATAAATCTGGTAGACAGATCTCTTGCACATAACTTGGAACATAGCGTTTATGTATAGTTACTCCTCTGAAAATTAATACACTGAATAGGTGGTTTATTAAAATCCCCAAGTCCAAGTCATTTCAGTATGTGCATCAGATTGACCTCCGGGGCTACTGAGTGGGGAGGAGTTTTGTACTGTGCTGATCTTGCCTAACAGGTACTTCTAAAATGCTGGTGTAAAAGACCATTACCATGTTACTCATACAATGAGAATCATGACAGCTGTACTTCTTCAAACAGTAGTGAAATACTAAAATATTGAAACAATAGGCCCATCTGATGTGCCCTTTTATAATGAGCATTAAGTAGTGTTTGAGTACAGAATGTACTTGAAACTCATGCTTGAGAAGTCTGTTTCCTTAATCCTGTGGAGGGGCCTTCATGAGTAACAGGAAATACTTTTCAACTTCATTGGGCAGAGGAGAGGGAGATGACTGGATATGAAGGAGTACCACACATTGTAGAGAAAGAGAAGACAATAATTCTGTGTAGGATAATGCACAGAAATCAAAATGGAACTTGGCTTGGGAAAGGAAAGAGAAGTTGTAGGCTTTTCTACTGCCATGTATACCCTCACATTATGATGGTAGCCCTGGAGGTCAGAATTATGGCACTATGTTCCTAGGCATGGCAAGCTGTATTACATTCCGTATGTATGCAGTATTTAATAGAAACTTAAAATTCTTAACTGTAATAAGCTAAAACTGAGCCTGTGACTGTACAAATAACTAGTACTGAAAACTTTAAAAAAGAACTGCCTTAGAAGGATTCTTTTTCTATTCTTGTGTGATAAATCACTGGCTTAAACAATTGGGGATTTTTTTTTAATTACACATATCTATCTAAAATGATGGTTATATAGTCAAGTTAAAGATTTTTCAACTCTATAGTATTTGTTTCTTGCTCAGTTAATATTACTCTTGCAAGACTGCTGCTCTTCTATGTATGTCTAGTGTGTTAACTTTTTTTACTGTGCTTACTGTTCACACTGCTTTCTGATACAAAGTACACTTGTTCTTAGCCCAGGGAGGTTCTCAACACACTTTGCTCTTTGTATATCTTAACTAATTTGAGGAGCCTGCTTTGCATTCTTAAACAAAGTGATTTCTCATGGCCATTAGTCTGGAGGAGAGATGTGGAGGAGTAACAACAGACTCCTAAATGGAGAAATACACAGGAACTCCTGAGCCTCAGACTTTATGTCCAACTGATACTAAACCAGATTGATACTAATTATATTGGATTATATACAACTGATACTAAACCTAAATTTTATATCAAACTGATATCCTACTAAACCAGACGGAAAAATGCAGTTGGATCCAATGAGAAATGAAAGGAATTGGAGAAAACAAATCTAGGAAATCCATATTACCAACTGTTGAATAAAGAAGTGAAGCTTAATAGATAAGCAATTTTAAGACATTTCATACTTTATTGAATAGCTTGCCTATGTACAACATTAAAATGCTTTTAAAAATTCTCTCTAATTTGGTGTAGCTGCTGGCTGTAGAGATACTTAAGCTTTACATTAAACACATTTTCAAGTAACAGCTTCTGACTCAACATCTATTGCCAAGAGAATTCCTAAAGAGATCTTTTTCAGAGGTGGCTCAGATCTTGAATCTAATCCATTTAAGGAAATTAATTAAGTTCAATTACACTGAGTAGCACAGGAATACCCTTTAGAAGGATGATTAATGGAGGCTCTGGGTGGGTTACAAAAAGTGTACAGGTATTACTTGGAATAGTGGGTTGTGTCAGGAGAAAAGCATTGTACCTAGTATGTACCCTGTTAAACTTCTCAGTTCCTTTTAATTCTTTGTCATATCTTCAACTGCTCAAAGTATGTTTCACTAAATTTGATAGGGAGAACCAAAAAAAAAAAAAATCCATGGTGGACTGGACAGCTCTGCCAATATCTCTACAAACTCAAATTATTCTATTCAAAATATACAAATTCAAATTATTGCTTTGCAACAGCAATCCTCATGCAGTCAGTTACTTTTCTGCTGTAAGACAGAGTGTTAAGAATTTAATGAGAGATCCTTAAGAACTACAAAATATGTTAATAGCCAAAGAGGGCAGAATAAGTTGTGTATTTGTACTGTCAAGTACAAGCTCCATAGCTTACTGGCTTCATGGGAAAACAATCCCCAAGGTTAAATGGAATGAAGCATTAGTTAGTTATGTGAAAACTTCTCTTGCAGTCATCTTCATGGAGTTGTAACTTTCATTTCACATGCTACAGTATTGTTGTGTTTAGGTTTTACTTCGGCTAATACAGAATATATATTAAAAAGTTAACAGCATTAGCTAAGCCTTCAGGAATGTACTACTATTGACTGGCACAATACCTTACTAGTAAACATTCTCTGTTTCTTGTGTATTAACAGAAAGGGCTTTATAGCCTAAACAAAAAACAGTGAAACCAGTAACAGGAGCTGTCATTACATGCTTTTCCACTGAAACCATGAACAAAGAGATCATTTATGCTAAAGTCTGCTTTTCTATGAATTGCCTAGATTGTTTCAATCATGCAACATGTCTTAATCACAGGGTGTGGAGGGAGTCTTTTCCCGTGTAGTAACTGCTCTGTATCTTCTGCTAAAATTTTTCATTGTGCTAGATAAGGTGGTAAACCACAGTCCCTGTAAATACTGCTTTAATCTAAGGTCAACTGCAGTTTATCATTCAACTGAGCAAATCCACATTTACACCTAATTGGTTTTGAATCATTACTGTTCCATCACTGTATAAGTATGATAATTTGTTAGAGAAGAAAATATTTTGCAATCAGTTGTAAACTCCTATAACCTGCTTGCATGGGAGTATATTCTTCTAATTATGATCATAAAGACACCAAATGAAAAATTCAGCTTAGAAATTGTTTCAGTTGCACTCTTGGTTTTGTAACAAGTGCAAAGTTAAAATCACTCATGCATACTGAGAACTAGCTCTGTAACTTTGAGTAGACTGTTTCATGGCAACAGAAAATCATACTGGCATAAGGCAACTTGTCTACTATTTCTGTATCTCTCCTACCTCTTACTGCCATGTGGTTACATCTCCTTCAATTTGTGTAGTTGAACTTGCAGATATATTATAAATAAAGTTATATACTTTTTTGTCTGTATAGTTGTGGTCTTCTGGTTTAATTTTTTATGTATCTCAAGAAATAGGTAAATTGCATTATTTAAATACCTGTTCATGTCGGTAGGATTTTATCACATAGGCAAGATACATTTCTAATTTACTGTTTCCTGTATGGACTTAGTCCCACAATATATGAGGCTGGTCCTAAATTTATCCAGTATTTTAACACTGAATACTATAGTAAGATTTTGTACATGAGAAGCCTTAAATAAAATAGTGTCAAAAGTTGCTAAATAACAGTATGGTGGCTGAGAAATACAAGCTGCTGATTAGAGTCCTTAACAGTAGTTTACCTAGTGTTAAACTAGATAAGAGTCGCCATTTTATCTACTAAATAGCTACCTATGGGTGACCATAGATATTTCAGCCAAAATTATTTCCAGTTTTTGTCAAAACAAAGCTTTTTTATTTGGGAAAAAGCGCACTGTAGTTCTTGACCAGGCCCTAAACTTCCTTCAGTACATGATTTAGAGAAACTTGATCTAAGACAGCAATGCAGGGTGGTTTTTTTCCTTTTTTGTTCTGAAAAATCTATTTAAATGCCTCTAGGATGCAAAGAATTAATTTGCACCACCTTATTTTAACAATAAAAAACTGAGTTCTACAATTTTAATATTCAGGTCCCCACTAACTGGAAAATAAAATTGCAGGGACACACATCTCTGCTCCTGACTGCAGATAATTGGGACTGATTTGTCATATTGCTTCCTCTTCAAAGAGTGAGCCACAACAAACACAGTTTTTGGCTTATACTCCACTTATACTCCACTTCTTAGCTCCTAGTGCCTCAAGAGTGCCAGCTGCACTCTGTCATTTCATGCCTTTATCAGATTTTATTTCCTGTGACTATATATGTACCATGCAAATACACTGCAATTCCAGGTATACCATATATTTATTTTTTTTTATTATTTGGATTCAAGGAACTTGTCTGTAAAAGGTCAGTTCCTTTGAACTGAAGCAGTTTTGTCAGACATCATTTTAAAAGGATTTAAATACTTTAAAAAAATTAAAATAAGAAAAAAAAGCACAAAATGCTAGTATTTCTTATCAATCTCATACCCCTGTCCTGAGCTGATGTAAATGCAATATAATATGCTAGAACTACACTTTTTTAAAAGGTTTTATTTTTAGTAGATAAGAGATTTGAAAACATTCAAGAAATGCTCAGACAAATTAAGTTATCATTAATACATTTACAGCTATATAGGGATTTGATTTTGTTTGTACTCATTTTAAAACAATGACTGCAAAAACTTTAAGAAGTTGGTCAAAATAAAAAGAAGCCCAGTAAAACTACAGAATTTTTTCTTCAGCTTTGCTTGATTTCTGAAGAAACTACACAGACCTGTGCAATATCATCATACTCATATGTTCTCTTCAAAAATGTGTCTGTAAGTCTTAGGCCAGAGACACTCTAGAAGGGGAAAATATTTAGAAGAGTTGTAATTAGAAAGAACTATTAATATTATAAAACATCTATTTTACAGTAAAACTGTACAGATAACTTACCTGTAATCCCTGCACTGAAGACAACAATGTAAGTGCAAGATAGAGGGATGAACTTGGGTGCAGCTTTCCAAGTTGCCTTCCTGAAACTCCACACCAGTGGATTGAATTAGTATTGCACATTTCTAAAACCAGATCCATAGTCCTTTCACTGCTAGAGGAAATCAAAAAACAAGAATAAACCTGTGGGCTTTTTAAAGCATTTAAAATTGCAGACATGTAAGAGCTTTATTGAGGTTACTGTTAATCAAGATTCATGAATAATTATACTGCAGCAAGCAGTATTTATTGTGATGCACAGTAATTCAGCTGCAGACAGCTGACACAAGCATCCTGTCATGGGTTTAGCAATACTGGATAATACAGAAGTGTTTACGCTTTGGATGGACTACAAGCTTTTCATGAGAAGTATCTGCAGGCCAGAAACATACTTTAGTCCCTGGGCTCAACTTCCACTTAGAATTACTTCATTTAAATGTCACTCTTGCAGCCCTAAGATGGGTTGTGATTTAAGTATGAGGTGAAATCATAAACAGTATTGTAGACAGATTCATGGGATTCCTCTACAGATTTCTGGCTATCTCCTAGTTCAGTACAGTATTAACAGATCACAATGTAAGCTTTTTAGTTGTAGTTGTTTCTTTGGGGCTTCCTTTTATCTCTGTGTTTCAAGTACCTTTGTGTTGCCACAAATCATAGCAGAGACTAGGTTTAAGTAGTTTCAGAAGGAAGTACTGAAACATAAAACCAGCCACAACTCACCCTCTCAGGAAAAAGTACAAGAATAGCATGACATCATTACCTGCAATTTGTTATTTTACATGTGATGTCAAAAGGTTCTTCCAAATTTACAGTATCTGGTATTGTCTCCAATGAAAGCCTTACATCGCCGTAACCAGGAGCCTGGAAAGGAACAGGAATGTATATTCTTAGATGTTGGATTGGGAAATTGAATTTCTTACTCAAGTTTTCATTTCCCGAAAGAAGCTCGGAATTAGAGAGATCTCAAGAAAGAAGATTGACTATGCTTTTGATTACTATGGGAATCACAGCAGCTCTCCATCTTCAACTAAAGAACATCTTCATAATCTTTATTATTACACTTTTCAGGAGAGTTTAAATAGTCATATACAGGTCCTGAGATCAGCTTTAATCTAAAACCTCTGTTAGGCAGATAACGGATCTGTGTGGACAAAACCAGTAAAACTTCCCTGCATAAACCCACCATTATTCCACATCCTAAGAAACAAAAACTGCCATTTCAGTCATTTATGCCTCTGCCAAAATAATTAATTGTCATCAGTTAGAAAGTCACGTGATTATCAATTATTCATGAGCCAAACACATTTCATATGGTCTACTAATAAACCTACAGTAAGTATCTTTGGTTACTAGATACCAAAGGGTTGATCCAAAATAGTAACATGCAGATGAAAAAGCAGGTTTAGATTTTCAATCCCTATGAATCCCTATGACCATGAGGGAAGAATTGAGGAAAAATCTGTCCTGCCTGCCAAAGCTTAGTTCTTGTACATATTCTAATTCTGCTGATAAAAGGATGCTGTAGTGAAAGTTTTATTTACAGCATGATTGAAAGATATTTCCAAAGAGGTCCAGAAAGTCAATGACTTACACACTGGGAACAGTTTTAGTCAAGCCACTCAAAAAAACCCCAGAAACCAAACATGAAAAAACCACCCCCAAAAAACCCAACCAAACCCACAAATTATGGTATGTGGATACTTGTTTCAAAGGTGCATTTTTTTTATGTGACCCGTAACAATGGCTGAGGGACATAGTAGAGGTAAAATGCTGGGCCTGGGTGGGAAACAACGGCTATAGTGCTGGCAAATGGATTAGGAGGAAAATGCTTAAGGGTGAGGTCTAGAAATTAAATAATCTGATAGCACTTAAAAAATTAGGGAAAGAAAAGAGGGAGTTACACTGCAACTCAGAAGGGAAAAAAACCCAACTACCTGCTGCTTTTCTAAAGACAGATGTTGCTCAAAGTATACAAAATAGTGTTTTTCTGTTAATCACAAGGCACAAAATGATGCATGACCAAAACTAATCCTGGAGCGTTGAAGTGTGTGCTTCACATGCAGTTCTCAAAGGTTAAACAAGAAGGGATGCAGAGTGAGACAACAGTCATTTAAGGAGGGAAAAGAAATGAGTCTAAAGGGAAATGATAGGAAATGTCTGTTGAAAATGAAACAGTTTATTGTTAAAAACAAGCAACAAATTTCAAAGTAAGCAGAGTAACTAAGTTTAGAAGAAAGGGCAGTTTTTAATTTGATGGGGTTATGTACATATTCAACACCTCAATTAAAAATTAAGACACATTTCAGTGACTTAGTGAATCTTAGTGTCTTTCCTGTGAATTTCCAGGGTCTAAGTTTTCTTGCCTAGTTCCAAGTCAGTGTGACTTCTCTACAGAACTGCTGAATGTACTAGCAGTTGGGGACTGGGGGAAAGACAGAGGCAGAGACCCAATTATAAGCTCTGTAAACTTACACTGAGATTTCAATTGTTTCAAAAAGTTTTTTTTCACTACCTTTCTCTATCTCTCACCTCAAGTGAGAAGATGCAAGCCAGGTTTAAGCATTAGATGGATGTGGAGCTGACTTAAACAAGACAGTAATTACAACTTAAAATTCAAGAACAGTTCATAAATCAACCAGAATAGGATAGACTCAACCAAAACTGTAGATATAGAAGATGTTACTCCAAGCTAAAATGTATGAACTTGGGAGCAACTTCCATGTCAAGAATTGGCATATTTAAAGAGGTCCGTTTGTCAGTTTGTTGCCAAATGGCATTCAAGCAGTTAATTTTATTCCAACAAATGTATTTTGCAACACTGGTTACTGGATTCTGACAACTAAAGTGCTCACTCCATTATCTTAGCCACACTTCACTGAAGAAATACAAGAAATAATTCTAATACATACAGAAAGGTGTGAATAAAATATAAGGCTCAAAAGTAAACAGCTCACACTTTTCCAAGTCATTATTAAAATTGTTCATTGAGTTTCCTTAAAAATTAATGCCAAGTGAAATTAACACTTAAGTTAAACTTACCATTCTCTGGAGCTGACTAGTTTGCAGCCTTCCTCGTTCACCCAAATTAGTTTTCCATACAATGTCTAGTTTACCTATCACAGTTACACCTTTTATTACTCCAGCTTTCTCTGCAAATTCTTGCTTTGGTTTTAGACAGTATAAGTATTGACGTGTATCCATAGGTTGTAAATATGTCCTTGCACCAAAAGTAGACTCACTGGAAGGAAAAAAAACATTAGGTCTTAATTTAAACAGCTATTTTGAAGAAGATTAAGAACACAACCTTTTTTCCCCCATGCCCCACCAGTCTTATGGTATGTACACACATGGTTTGCTAATGGTAAAACAGATAGAATACTTTTTGTTTTCACAACAGAAAACAGCTCTAAAAATTATGCAGCACCAAGGACCATGGAGAAATAAAAGAACCTGTTCTTCTCAGCCAGAGACAAGTAAGATAGAAATCCACTCTGCTACATTATAATTATCTGGCATCTTAGCATTTAAACAAAAACGCTGGTAATTTTTCTTCTGCTATTTGTTTTCCCTCACAGTAAATTAAGGTGAAACTAAGATTCTTCTTCAGGAGAAAAACTATTATGGTGGATGCAAACACTTGGTAAGAACAAAGCTCCATTATGAAGGTGAATCCTTCAACAGGCAAGGAGAAGACAGATTTTTCACTTCAGCCCTTACTGCTGAAGCACTCAACCATCACCTCCAAAAACCCAAGCAACTGCAAAGCACGAACAGCCAAATATAATTCACAAGCATTTGTATCCAGTCAGTTATTCTGGTATTAGGTATTAACTAATTCAAATTTAATTTATTTCAGCAGGACAAATTTTTATATTCTAAATCCATGAGGGAGTACCACTGATCCACCTTGACTGGTGCCTTGCTATATCATTATTAGAACAACTGAAAACTGTAAGCAGTTTACTGATAGGAAGCCAGGATTAGTCAGATGAGTCCTGTAAGGCAAAGTATATACACACAGATTAGGTCAGACCTAGATCTGTGTTAAATTTTATATAGGAGATACTGAAATAATAGTATGTTTTCAAGTCTTCATGTCATCATTGTTACAAATTATTTGAGGATTAGGCTAAATATTTCTTTATAAGGTAGAATTGTAGATTTTTAGAATGATTCCTATGGAAAGAAAACTGTAACAAATTTTCCAGTTGAATACATAACAGAAATTTGATCTTTTTACTCAAGTGAAGACAAACAATCCTCCCATTATAGACAAATGACTAATACTTGCATAATGAAATATTAATACAAAGCATTTCAAAGTCAAATATCCTGAATGTGTACATACCTTTCCCCTGCTATGTCAACTGTGTTCAGTTCTGCAACATTGTACATCATGGATGGCTCTAAAGAAACTTTCTCCATAAACATTGGAGAGGTAGTGATATTTTGAATTTGAGCTTCCAGAAACACTTCATCTGTCTGCAAAAAATCAAAAGTTCAAGTTCATGAAAATATGATTAGTGTTATTAAAAACAGTAGGCAGTCCTATTGTTAAAAAAAAAAGGTCACACATGTTTAGTTCATGCCTGCAAATCAAATTAATTAATGCAAGAAAAAACCTTAATCCCAGTAACAACAGGAGCAAAAGTGTTAGTCAACAGGTATCTTGCCAAACAATGGATGTGGGATAATTTTGCTATGTTCTAGATTCTGCTTATTTGTAATGCATTAAATCACCACTTCCCAAGACTTTCATCAACTTAACAGCAACTCAAGCTTTTATCCAAATTCTTAAAAAAAAATTGAATAAATGGTAAGGAATTGCAGTGCACAAGAACATGCCATGCCAGATCACTAGTGCATCAAGCTGTATAAAAAAATTAAAATTTGTTTTTCTTTAACTGAAGTAAAATAGTTCAGGTACATGCTCTGAGCTTTTATTATCAAAAACTAGCATTCTAGCTAAAATGCAAAATCCAGCCCCTGCTCTCACTCAGCTGCACCATGCCAAAAGTTACCAATACTGTATGCATCCAACAATTTAACTGGTGCTCTACCTTCAGAACATCTGAAGCGAATGCCTCAAGATGGTATTGAAGGACCAATTCTGGTACAGAAATGAAAGCTATAGAGTGTTAAACTTCAGAAAATGAAAAACCATAGAACTAGAGAAGTTTTGGCTCACTTCTTTTGTGGAATTGCAGACCAGTAAAGTCACTTCGCATGTCTAAAAGTCTCAGGATAATTATGGAAGCCTCAGACTATTAGAGATATGAGCTCCCAGAAAAGTGAAAACTACAATTAAAGAAGTGCCAGTTAAAAAAAGGAGGATACCAAATTTCCGTTTAAAAAAGAGTCACTGATTCAAGCTATTGGATTAATTGATTCTTGTAGGTCCCTTCTAACTGAAATAGTCCATTCTACAGATTAAAGATTTAAAAAGTTTGAGTATTTTGTTATGATAAAATTTTAAGAAAGTACTTTTGTGGGGAAAGTGGAACAAAACTTAAATTTTCTTTTTGATCAGTGTAAACAAATGTTTCTTTATATAAATGGAGTCCTGCTTGTAAATTACAAAATAAAAGTAGGACAAGATAACCAAAATATGTTTAGTCTCAAAAAATTATGTTAGAAGGAGAAATATGGAATGGTTGTGTAACTTTTTGTATTGCCTTATAAACACATTAAATACAAAGCAGCATCCATATAGTAATGAAAACTGTGCAACCTCAACGGGTTACAGAGACACTTCATGCTTGCAAGCACTGGAAATAATCCCAACTAAAACATGATTCTCAGTAATCATTACTACTACTGCCTGTCATTTAAACTGATACAATTTATATCCCATAAATCCATTGCTCAAAGTGTTCATTTACCCAAATTTTAGTAGTTTTCAAAACAGCAAAAGGCGTAAGTTTAAAAAAGCTAATTTGAAAGGGAAAAGAAAAAACAAGCAGCATAATGAAAAAGCAAGTTAGTTTTGTGTTATTCTTAATTTGATCAAGTATTACATGTTTTTTTTAAAAAAAAAAATCTTGTCAAAATATGCAGTTTAATAGAAGGCACGCCTTAAAGTGAAATCAGACCGCAGAAGTAACAGAGTAACTCAATCAACTGTTACATGCAGTTAAAATTGTGAAGAGCAGTCCCAGCTAGCCAAAGGAAGGAAGAACATCCAACTGCTGCTCTCTCCTCAAACCCACTGTCTCCACCAACCAGATGTGAGAAGTTCTGTCACAGCTTACACAAGCAGTGCTGTGGTGAAACCTACACTTCAATGAGTCAACAGCAGAAAATTTTTGAAAGGAAGTAACTTCTCTTTTCAAATAATAGATCTAATAAAATTTTGGTGAGGAATTATATTATTTTTTAGATTATATTATAAAGGAGGACCCCGACAAGAATCTGTAACTATCAGGTTCTAGTTTCAACAATGGGTATTAAAGAAAGAGCTAACCATTTAAATGATTAGCTGCACATATAAAGACGAGAAAACATCAGTTTATGATATGCAGAACAAACATTGCTTTTCCATTATGTTTGTAAAGAATGTCAATAATAAACACAGAGACAGTTAAGCAATTAAAAAAGCATACATATTTATAAAAAAATAAATAAAAATTACCACAGAACTGAGGTCACTCTAATGGGAAAATAAAAAAAAAGAACACATTAGAGAAATTAGGGTTAAATGTTAAAGAAAAAGGAGGCTAACTTCCAAACAAAATGCATTTCTGCATTTTTTTGCACCATTTAAACAAGATAGCATTAGTAAGACAGAAACATAAATAAAAATGGATGCAAACAAAGATGACAACTACATTTCTAATAACTTATAGCTAGTATGATTACATGGTTTACTAGCTTTGCTTCAGAACCAATCCAAAGTAGAGCTTAAGGCACACAAGTCACAGACAAGATATGGTAGAATAAACTGACTCAAAAAAAGGAGTTAGTTTTTGAGTAAGTTTAAAGTTTGTCCTGCATTTCAATCCATGCAATGGGTTGTATATGAAATGGAAAAACAGTCCTTGTCACCTTATAGATAATTTGAAGTATCCTCATATATAATGTCTTAAAAAGAATGTGGTAATGTGTCCTAGCAAAGCCAACAAGTTGCAAGTTATAAAATTTGGCATAATATCAAGAAAAACTCTTTTTTGAATATTCATCAATCCAAAACCCAATTTCAAGTGCAAACTTTGTTGTCTACCTCCCTGTGCACACTTGCAGGAACAGAACCTTTTACAAAGCCTTTTTTCAAGGCACATTAAAGTCAGTGAGAGAGTAATTCAATCCCAGGATTGCAGCAGATTAGAGCAACAGGGCATGTGTTCTATGCATAAATTTCACTGATCAACTCCATCTGGGTGCTACTGCAATATAAGCAATAAGCAAGAAGATTAAGGTTCAGCATCATTCCTTGTTTTAGAAGAAATTAAATTATGGATGATCATTAGACTATTAATAGAAAATAATTTTAGTAACAGGCATTATGATTAGACAGCATCACATCTGTAATCTTAAGGGTAACAGTTTAACAGGTTAGTCAACCTTTAAAATCTTTAGTTAACTAATAACTGACACATACCATTTATTTCTCCCCTGCTCTCAAGGATAATAGTCAGGATGAATTTCTTGGTGCTTTCACAGCAATGTAGTACCACACACAACAGCTAACAAAGACTTATTTCTATGGTTTTAGAAGTTAATTGAATTCTATGGTCACAAGACATAGCAACACTTTATATACTTTCAGAAATTAGATAGGAGTGCTACTATACCAGCTTGCTAGGCAAATGGAAATTTCCCACTTAATATCATCTAAAATCTGTTTTAAGATAGTTTTTTTAATAAATTGAATGGGTAAGATGATAATGGGAGTTGCATAAATTCATGAACAGGAAGAACAAAAGGCATCAAAGAGACTTTTAAAAACTCTGCAGAGGGAAAAAAAAGCACAAAAAAACCCCCCAAAACCCAAACCCACAAGGTACCAGCTCAAATCAAAGCTTCTCAAAGATTTTTACCACAAAGAATTGGTGGCTGAGAGTTAAATAAGACTCTTATCAAGAGCAGTCAGTATAAGAGCTATGAAAACAAAAAAAACAAACAAAAAAAACCCACAAAAAAACAAAACAAAAAAAAAATTTCCATGTAAAAAGTTTGCCCAGAATTACCTTAGAATTACCTTATCACAAAATTTACACGTAAGGTATAAAGAGACCACATACTTTACAGCTGAAACAATAATATAATCCACACAGTAAATAAGAGATTTATTTTGCTCCCAGAGAAAGTACCTTGTTTCTTAGAATTATTTTTGCCCTTAGATCACAGCAGAAGACATCTCCAGACATTCCCACTTAGAGATAATAGCAGCTCTATAAAGGGCTCAGCCAGTGCTATGTGTTTATGTTCCAATCCTGCTCAGGTACCTCACACCTAGTCAATGCATGGTTTGAAGGCTGTGGCCTACAGATATGTACCAAATTCGTCCCATAAATAGACAAATGCAGTCTAAGTATGTCCAAATAAATATGCAAAGCATATATAAGATCATTTAGTTTAGAAGCGCTGTGCGTAACTGTCACAAACCTAAAATTTAAATTACTGAACTGAAAGGTCATAGTTACATGGGGAAAATTTAAATTTAAGTAAATTAAACAGTTAAGTAATTTAAATTTAAATTTTCCCCACTCTAAAAAATCACTCTGATAATCTGTAATTTCCTTTATGAACAATTAATCTCCCTTACAGTAAGTACTCCATCAGCCTAAACATACAAGCAATTACTGAAAGTATTTGAGTTCATGAGAAACTGGAATATATGCAAAATTGTTAGTCAATTACTAACATTTAACTTAACTACATTAAGATCCTAACATCTCTTTTGCCCCTTCATCTAAAACCTATCTATTTTTAAGCTTTACAATATATATGTACCACCATTTGTACATTAGAACTGATCAGTTCTCTCAGAAAGGTGTACTTAGAAAGCACTTCAAATTTAATCTAAGTAACAAACCCACCATGCCAAAGCAAACCTGAATACACACAGTTCTCACCTCCGCATTGTAGAATTTGGTTTTCACATCTAGTGGTTTAAGAACCTGAATGAAATGGAAAAAAAGACAGATTGACAATAAGTTTTTCAGACAACTTTGGCATAGACTGTTTTGAAGTGCTAGGGTCTTTTACTAAAAAGTGTTATTTTTCTTTTTGATCTTACACATAGCAGGTGCATGACAGAATATATGAGAGAATCAACTCAAGAGTATAACCTCGCTGCTTCTTACTTGACTTGTTTGTTTTCTTACTAAGCAGTCTCCTCGTACTGAAATAATTCTCCACCTAAGCACTGGCCTCTTACGAAACTGCCCAAATTCAGTGCTCTAAGTAGATCTGTGTGTTTACAATAATACTATATCCATTCTGGGTCATGCAGCGGCCTGCATTTGCTTTCAACTGTGAGCAAGAGCTATCTAACATTTACAAGTCCTTCAGAGTTTCGGAACAAAAGTTACTGAGGGCTTCTCTAAACATAAGTGAAACAGAGAACTATTCATGCATTTAGCTTTATTAGCCTTCCTTTTTGAAAATGCAACTGTTTTAAGAAATTAAAGAAAATCATAATACGTAAAATGAATAGTTAATAAATCATATTCATTAATCTCATGAGATTCAATCAGAAAAAGAACACAACAAATTATATAAAATATGATTATAAAGTGTTGGTTCTTAATGCTTGAGTTTTGTGCATAAAGCCACTGCATTTATGACATTCAAATATGAAGCATTTATAAAGCGATGTAACTGAAAGAAATAATTTTCTATCATACTTGTAAGGAAACAAATTTAAATTCTGTTTCTTAAGACATTTGTTTCCCATTACACAGGGAAACTTTTTTTGTTTACCTAAAAGTGCACTGCAGCCTGAGATACCTCTAATGTTCCAAGTTGTCAACAAATTTTTTAGCACTGAAGAATTCAAGATCAAAAAGTCGTCATCACTGAGATTTCTGCATTTTAAAAGGCATCAAATCTTAAAATGTTAAAATTTTAAAAGTTAAAATCTTTTAAGTATTCATAACTATCTCTCGTCAAAAAAAGAATTAAAAATTTTAATTTAGGTCTTTGTTGCTTGATAAAAGATTCTTTTCTGTCCAATATTTTTCTTCAGTGAACTTCTTATAAATTTTCCAAAATGCTGATTTTTTTCCTCTCTCTTCTGATAAACAGTCTTTTTATTCACTGCAGTAAATTTCAATTGGCATTCCAGAAAAATACAAAAAATTATTGTGATGTTCACAAACCACCCAGCCTTAGAAGGATTCATTCTCTCTCCATAAAAACTGTTAATAATGCTGTTAATAACTTAGTGAGAACTTTGGAACAGAAAGGCACTATCAATCACTATAAAACTATAGATAATGGCTAAAAGAAGCTGATTCAAACCAACAAACACCAGTTCAACTTAAGACATTAGAAAATGTAAATGAAAAATCTGAAAATCTGTAAGAGTATTTTTTTATTATAAAATAGCTAGTGACATCTCCATCACTAGCAGCCATGAATTCTCACTGTAAAGACATAGTTCAGTTTTCTGTAACACTTCTTTTTGATTGTTCTCAGGTCTCCTACTGGTGTCTCCATGTCAAATTTAAAAAATAACAGCCAAAATTCTCAGTGCAATGCTATTCTCATAATGAATCAGAGAATATTTATAGAAGTTGCAGAAGTGTATATATATTTATACTTCCTTCTTTGAATGAAGGGTTTCACATTTGACAGCTGGCTTCAACTGTTTTGATAATTTAGTTGCTTATACTGGGCAGTTACATGCCCAATAAAAACCATTTAATTGCCAATTAAAAACCATGGCAATTACACCATGCAAGCAGAATCTCCAAAAAAATTAAACAAATACATTTGAATACAAAATCTAAAGGAGACAAAACAACATCTTGTATAAAGCTCTGACAAGAACAACATTAGTGAACAGAGGAAAGGTGAGATCTGAAGCTTAAACATGCATGTGTAAGCAATCAGAAAAAGCCCAGTAGGGACAGAGAAACAGAACACTGAACAGAGAAAAAGAATGGAGAAATTGAAAGGGAAGCAATTTCATAAGGAGAGCAAGACAAAGCACACAAAGATGAAAATTAATTTCACTGAAGAAATTAATAAAAAATTCATAAAACTCTACAAAACTCTACAGAGATGCTAGTTTCAGAGGGAGGGTAACACAAAAAATTTACACAGAATTGTTTTCTCTAGGATTGTCAGAAAACACCTTTGACTAATCAATACCTGGCATTTCAAAGCCCACTAGTATTAACAGCACTCAAGTGTTCTTTCTAATGCATCACAATTTAACCTTCTAAAGACTGAAATTCCTTTTTTTTTCTGAAGTATCGACAGAATACTAGAAATGCCAACAAAATGCAACCATTTTCCCCCATCTATACAGAATAGTGCATCTCCTATACCCATAATATCATAGAATATCCTGAGTAGGACAATAACCACACGGACCATCAACTCAAACCTCCAGGAATATGTGCCCGAGAGCATTGTCCAAACAGTTCACAAACTTTGCCAGACTTTGTGCTGTGGCCACTTCCCTGGGGAGCCTGTTCTGGTGTCCAACCACCCTCTGGGTGAAGAACTTTCTCCTAGTATCCAACCCAAACTTCCCCTGAAACAGCTTCAGGATGAAACTATATAATGCTCCTGTATTACCAGACATCTTATCTAAAAATGTATTCAGTAGAGCTTGTAATGTAATGCTCCGTCTTATGAAGATTAGTCCACCAATATCCAAGTCTCAACGTATTTCTCTAAAAAACTTAACATCCATGAAATACACAGTAAACAGACTCTTTCTTGCAAGAACCAGTCCACAGATTAGTTCCTTGCTTTCCTCAGTCACTCTTATCTCAAGTCTTGAAATTTCTGTGATGGAAGAAAATTACTTTTGTCGGTATTATATAATACATTAGACTTCTTTACTTAAATTCCTTTAAAAACTGAACTATTTAATTTTAATTTAATAAGGTTACACACACCAAAAGAAAACCCAGAATGACCAATACTTGTTCATTCTGACTTTAAAAATAGTCATAGAGCTGACTGCTATAAAAAGGGAGTTTTTAAGAGTAGATTTTTTTTCTCAATAAATTAGTAAAAGTTATTAGATGTAATATTTGTTAGTTCTGAGATGTGTAACGGTGTGGTAATTAGAAAACACCGATTTGTGTGACATTTGAAGCAGTGGCTTTTAATGGTTCACTTTTAAAAGGGAATGGATTTTTTGTACATAAAGTGCTTATGAAGTATCAAATGTTTTAAAATGTGTTTTACAGAGTCACTAAGTTATTTAAAGTAGAGTAAAATACTTAATGAAATACCTGAAATTTGAAGAACTTTCTGAAGTACATCTTCTCTCCAGTCTGCGTAGTGTAACTTACTGCACAAACTAAGCTGAAAAAAACAAGTAAAAAAAAAAAAGTTGTATTACTTTAAAACTTGTGCTATATCAAAAGTAGAATAGCACACATGTACTTCAGTTTTATTTAGGATCATTTAACAGAAAAAGTTAAAATTTTACATGTGTGTTCCTATCTCCTTTACTTCATGATGGATCACGTCATCAATGCAACAGTCAGGTTTAAGTTCTGCCACTGCAGCACTAGAAGCTGAAAGGTTCAAACGCTGAGAACTTGTCTGAAGATCAGCCTGGGGACAGAAGAACAAAGCACTGGTTAGAACTACGGTCATTTAACACAACCTAAAGAAAGTACAACTTATGCTATAAAGTACTGGTATAAAGAACTAAAGTTCACTGAGCATTTTGTACCCCATGTTTTCACGCATATTGTAGGAGTTCAGTTGGTCAGAATATGGGATTCACGTCACCAAGGCTGCAGGTTCAATCTCTGTGTGGGCTACTGACTTAAGAACTGGACTTACTCATCCTTGTGCGTCCCTTCCAACAAAAAATATTCTGTGATATTCTTGACTCAGACACTTTCTGTAACATATATGAAGATGATGAGATACTTACAAAGCTAAAGACAAGTTCTAAAACATGTAAGTACTCCAGTCCTTTACCATGCAGGTTACAAAATAGCTACTTATTTTATATTGAATTCCACAATGACTTCTGAAATTTCTACTTTCAGTGTTTTATTTGCTCAGTAAACACAACACCCCAATCCTCTAGAAAATGATTCATATAACATAAAGATCAGTGTATGCTTTACAGGAAATTGAAGACCTGATTGAAAATGAAGGTAAGCGACTGTAACTCCATTTTTTTAGCTGTGGAAAGTTTTGCTACACCAATTCTTCAGAGAAGTTTTAAATAGAAGAGTGCATGTCCAAAGAAGGTAAATGGAGGTGAGGGTGTTTAGACAGGAGAAAAAGGCTCAGGAGAGGGACTTTACTGTTCTCTGCAACTACATGAAAGAAGGCTGTAGCTACGTGTGAGCTGTTAACTTCTCACAAGTAACATACAATTGGAATAAGAGCAAATGGCCTCAAGTTGCACCAGGGGAGGTTTACATTGGCTAGAAGGAGCAATTTCTTCACCAGAAGGGTTGTCAATCATTGAACAGACTGTCTAGGGAAGCGGTTGAGCCACCATCCCTGCAGGGGACTGTGTGGATGTGGAACTTAGGAACATAGTTTAGCAGTGGACTTGGTAGTGTGGGTTAACAGTTGCACTTGGTGACCATAGAGGTCTTTTCCAACCTAAACTGGAATTCTATAGCTATGATTCTGTAATAAACCCATTTTTTGACACAATCCTATGTGACAGCTACAGCTGATCTGTAAGCTGCACAGATAAACTGGCAGCACACCTCAACTTGACCAGCCCAGTTCGTTGGAGAACTGAAGTAAACAAGTCCCTGGGTAAGACAGTGATAGGTTGGATTCAAACTCAAACTGGGGACACCAGCCAATCGCATTCAATCACAAATGCAGATGTGCAATTGGCCAGTGAGCTGGGCAGTGCTAAGACCCCAACCAATCAGGTACATGAGCACGGGAAATTTGAAGCCCCTATAAAAGGGAACGCCCATCAATAAACTTTGGCTTCATGAGTTCGGTGTGTTCAGTTCATGTGCCTGTTTCCAAAACTGCAACAATCCTAGTTTTTCATTTAAATCTTTGATGATTTCTATAATAATTTCTATTTTTACGTCTTACTTTTTCCAATATCCAAGTATATTTTCTGAATTGGAAAAAGTGACGTATATTTCCTAAAGTCTGTGTGTAAGCATTAATCATGCAATATATTGTCAGAAAGTATCATCACTGTATTTTTTTTTTAAGTTTTTTATAAATGGATTTCTCTCACATACCTTCACCAGTATGTCCTTGACAACTTGATTGCTATCATTGTGCACACTAATATAACTGGAAAATGTTTCTCCCAGAAATATGTTTCTGTATTCCAGGAAAAAAAAAAAAAGAAAATAAAAGATTTTTTTGTAACAGTTAATAAAATTCAGTACATTTCACTGAAACACTTTTAAGTTCACACACATACACATTTGCCGTATCAAACTCTAGAAGAAAACTGGCATTTGCACACCCATGCTTTTGAAGTCATCCTTCAAAGACAATCCTTGAAGATATCCTTGAAGACAAACAGTTTTAAAAGAGAACAAAAAAATCAGAGTTTTTTCTAGCTAAAAGTCTGACAGGAATAAGAAGACAGGTTTCAGTACCCACAAAAATCCCAGTAGTAAATTCTGTTAGAATAACATCTGGTTTATAGTATTAGATTACCTTAGAAATTCATCCATAGCAGCAAATCTTTTTCAGCTTTGAATTCTTACTAGGTTCAGGCTACAGACAAGAAACATCAGGCAGCATACATATACATACATACATATATGTATAAATCAAGCCACGTATTAGTTTTGAAATGACTGAACAACTCATTGCAGAACAATGGTATTCAGATAGCAAGAGAAGTATGAATCCTAAACCAAATGAGTCCTAAATCTTGCATATTACAGTTACAATCATTTATTCTTACCCAAAATTTTGAGGCAAAGTCAACATTTCTCCTAACATCAAAGTTTCAGCACCTTTCACAGTAGAAGGATCATCTTTCATGAGCTGGTTAAATAGGTTACCTGTAAACATATCAAGTTGCTATTAATTAAATATTTGCCAAGTCCAAAAGTTTGTCTACATTTAAGTTAGACACTTAATCACTTACTCAGATGTAGTTTATTTCAGATGTATTTCTTTTAGAATAAACTTGTTTAGGGATTAAATATATATCCATAGGCCTGCCTATAAATTGTAACTGAACTTCAAGACACTTGCACCCAATAGTTTACTCAGTATATACATACTGAAGGGAACAATCCAAAAGGAATTGCTCAAATTAACACTGAACTTTGAGAGAAATTCTATCCATCTAAACCTAACATTACATAACAGAACTAATCAACCTCATTTACTTTCTTCTCCTGCTTGCTCTGTACTTCCACACAACCTTCCTTCTTCATCTTTCCTTTGACTTTCTTATACTTGACTTCTAGATTCCAACTATATCTGGGAGACAATCCAGGGATTTCCAATTTATGATGGCACACCAAGCATAGCGCAACTCAAAACCAGTGATTCTTGCAAGATCTGCTTTCCAGAGAACACTCATGTTGGTTCTAACTACCAGGGCCTTTTCACCAAATTAAAAAAAAAAAAAATAGTAATGCAAATTTTTCAGCACTTACACATTTCCCTCACAGAACTACTTCCCACTGTGTATGTCAATTGCTTGAACATTGAGGTCATGTGTTTGAATGTCATCACCAATCTTAAAAAGATATAGGTCAAGAGCTATAAAGTGCACCTTGGTACTTTCCTTTAGCTATTACCAAATCTAAAATATATTGCTGTTTCAGATTAGAGTCTATGGGAGGTCATGACTCCTTTAACATCTAACTGTTAGATGGTCACAGTACTTAAACTTGGTAAAACATACATAATAATCAGTCAGTAGAAAAGACTTACCTGGCAAATCTCTTTCTTCACAAGTCACTGGAATATTAGTGAATAAGGTAGGTTTGGTCAGCCTCATCACTGCAAAAATAAAAAAAAAAAAGACAAAACCATCGGTCAATCAAACAACTATATTTAATTTTGTTCTTCAAGAATGCCTTGCCCTTCTTCCACAAAAAACAAACAAACAAAGAAACAAACAAAAACCAAACAAAAAACACCCAAAAAACCACAACCACCAAATAAATCTCAGCCTGAAAAAGGATCACATGGCCTTTCACAATAAAAAAAACACCTCCCTGCTATTCTAAGATCCATGAACACTGGTAATGCCATTGCTCCCTCCTGCTTTCTATCCCTGGTGAACTAACCTACTAATCTACTGATTTCAATTTGATGTGCTAAAGATCTTACACCTCCTACAGCTTTTAAGTGCTTTGTGGTCTTCATAAGTGCGTCATTTTCATCTGTTGGTGGATCTTAACAGGTTAAGAGCCTGTCCTGTGACCCTTGTTGACCCTCTAGAATGGGACATGATGACTCATACAGACCCTTTCAGTCAAACACCAGTCTATAAGAAATTGCATTTACATCTTATCCTATAACTTTCACAAGGGAGAGTTACAAGACTAAAAGCCTACATTATTTATACCACTTCTTTTTCTCTAAGTCACAAACTTTAAACTCAAACCAGTAAAACCAGCACAAAAACCTAATGAAAATACTTAAAACAAAGCTATTTTATTGATACTGACAAAATCAAAATCATTAGATTTTGCTATTAAATAAACCCTACTTCAAGTAAGTGATATTTTCAAAGGCCATTTTAACTCATACTCAAAATTACATTATTTTCACTTATTGAATATGTAAAAACCATTGGGGTTTTTTCCTTTGTAACTTAATAAAGCACCAACTAAAACTAATAAATAAAACAAAAGTATTTCTCTTGATTGCAACAAGTTAAACAATACCTTTGCACTGATACATGTATGGTAGGTTTATTTTTATTGTACTTTTATACAGCTATTGTGTCCAGACAGCATTCACTGTTTCCAGTGGTATGAAGTATTCAATTACTTTGATATACATACATTTGGATACAGTGGGCTGTATTGGTTCAGAAGAGCATATGTTACCATAAGCAGACCTACGCAAATCAGCATACACACAAACAATTCTCACTTTTCACATGAAAAAAATCATACATTCTCTTAATGATGAAAAGTTGAAAAAAGAGGACCATTGAAGACTTAGAATCACAGAATACATTAAACAAAACAAGATCTACAAAATAGAGTAAATAGTGAACCACATTCAACATTGAAGATGAAAAAGAAAAGATACTGAATTACACATGCTTATGAATTAAGCATTCCTTGAAGATAACAAAATGAAAGCCTGGATTTCAGCTTGTTTACTGGTGCTAACCAAGACTGCAGTAATTCTCCAGCCAAAGATGGTGTTCACTCTTAAAAAACAGTTACCAGCTGAGGTGCTCACAGCTAGCAGTACATCTACCATTATTCACATACAAGCCGACCCAGAGCAGCACCAAGCTGGTCATTACAGTAACAACAATCTCTCCTTCTGTTTAGTAAAATGTTCGTTCACCTCTTTTGTCAGTATATCAAATTAATCTAGTGGGACTGTATTATCGGCATTATCTAGTTTTATTTAAATTCTCACTAAGTCTGTATAACTAGTATTTGCTGACTGCTTCTAAAGAAAGAATTAAATCATGTTTCAGAAAATAAATAAATACATCACACAATGAAGTCAAAACAAACTATGATAGGTGTATTATCATTTATTAGGACTATTAATGTTATTAAATACATAATCTCTTCTAAGATCCTAGACACAAAACACATCAAATAGAACTCAAATCACACTGCATTTTACTTCATTTTATCTTCAAGAATGCTGATGCACAAAGAAATGTTGCTACTGTTAATGTTAAGCTCAGAAATATAATGTCAGCAAAAAATGTAGCTATATAAGCTTTAAAACTAATAATAACCCTCAGTTATAATGCAGTTATAACACAGTCTTGACAGCATTTTGCATCAATTTTGCTAAGTGGTCATATTATATGTCACAAACACCCCAAACATCAATATAAGACATCTACAAATGTCTTAAAATTCAGTCAAAGTTTAAAACTACATGTCAATGACTCAAATGGAGCAATTCTAATCTAAAAAAAAAAAAAGTAATACCTATAATAAAATATAATTATTCAAGATAAGGATGCCATAAAAATGTAGGTCTAAGGGGAATTTACTTTCTTTTTACAGAGGGATCTCTCTTATGCCTATGTACACTGGAGTGAGCGGCATTAATGACAATCTAACAACCTATAAATGTTAAACACTTGTTTTCCCCCTTTTCCAGATGATACAGACCTTGACCTACAGCAAAACTATCTAGAATTAGAAGCAGTGCAAATGCAAAACCTTGCTGTCATATTGATCCCAGTTTAACTTCTCTACTGACCCTCCAAAGTCTCAACTGAGCAGGAACAGCATGACCTTGGAATACTTCATTCTTTCAGAAGACAAAATGTCATGCTGAACTCAGCCTTTTATAACCATAAAAGGCATTCAAATTCTCAAAGACAACAAACAAGAAGTTCCAGATAGAAATCTCATTTCTTAATTTCCTCACTTTTAGCTGGAAGCTAGTGTTTTCTTGTTCTCAAATATAATTAGAGACAAAAGAACAGAAACATCAGGAAAAAAATAATTATCAAAGTCATAAAACAGCAATTAAGTTGTTTGTTATTTTTCAGCCCACAGCTTCCACTAAAGCTATCAATATTTCTGTGAAAATATAGCTAACATTACTAAGACAGTGCACATATCCTGCATAAAGTAAGTTTGTACTTCATGGGAGGGATATGCCTTCATTAAAAAAACTCACAGATTACCTTCAGGAAATAATCAGATCTTGAAAATCTTAGTGTCAGTTACAGCTATCGTAGCAATTACTACAACTCATTTAAAAACATCTTTCCTTCTCCTAATTCCAATGAAGCAGAGAGAATGTACTTTGCTTAACTGAAAGCATTAATTTCATTATCTGACATAGCTTGCCACAACAGTCTGTAATTTTTACTTTAATTTTTTCCTTTAGACCACCAAAGTAGAGAAATGCTATAAAATGCAGTACTAAGCCAAACAGAAACTTACTAATCTTAACAGAACTGTAAGTCTTGAGGCAAAACAAAGTTAAAGAAATATATCATAGTTAGAAAACTCTAGCAAAGTCATCTAAATAGTTTTCTTACCATTAATTTATCAGTTGTTCTAAGGTCTCTATATTCTAAACTGCTTAAAAACTCTAGTATTCCTGGCAGTAATTTTATTATTAAACTATATCTTAAGTTATAAACGAAATATAATTCCATATTTATGTACAAGCAAATTCATTTTATCTGTAAGGCTTAGCTTTTCCCTAAGAATATTTCTAACATATTCACAGTATAATATATCACAGAAAATCCATATCTGTCCCACAGATCTTTGGATAGTAGCATTGCAAGATGGCAATTCATTCTGTTTAATCAGTCTATTCAATTTTATCCATATGTCCTCCAAATTCTGGTTTTTACAAACAGACTGTTCAATTGTCCACTTTGCTCTACAAAATGCATGCAGCTTTAGTCTTTCCAAATTATTCTGCAGTTCTTGAGATAAAGGATGAATCTTTTCTTTGAGTTTAGCACTAGGGAGAGAGACACTCCAAGACCTTTTCAATTTTTGTTTCCCATTAGGTGGTGGTTCTCCTTGATAGTCCAGGTTAATTGGTCTGTGAACAGCCTGTGCTTGGATTAAAGTTGGACCATGCTTCATGCTAGAGTTAAAATCAAGGAGATTTTTTGTGCAGTCATAATCAGGAGATCCTACGACATGTTCTGAAGGTGTAGAAAGCTGTTTCAATTCTTCCACTTCTTCACAAGAAATAACAGGTGCCTGCTTTTTTGGTTTGAGGGGAAGTCTGTGTAAATCATTTGGAAACCAGGGTGCAAATCTTGGTAACTGGCGAATGGGAAACTCCTTCACTGCTGCTTCTGCAAATTTCTGCAATTTTATTAGATCTCTCTGATGTGGTCGATAGTGCAAGACCACTTCCATGCTTGAACAGTAGGAATCCAGTGATTCTTAGGAAAACAGTCTCTTGATAACGATTCTCGTATCTAGACTGAAACATCTTATTTACAAGAATTTCCTTGCCCCACGATGCAAAGATCAGTGGAAAACAGGACCTAAAGCAGAAGTATTATAAAACAATAAGACACTACCATATTAAGACAAACGTAGCTACGATATTTTTAAAGAAAGAAATAGGTAGTTAAAATACATGAGATATATATCAGAACATTCTATTTTATCTAGGCTGAACATTAGCAGCTGTATTCCATCATTACCAGTGTAATTTCAGTACACTGAACATTATTCACACACACACTTCTTACTCAAAACAGTCCTTTTCCAAGAGAACACTTTTACTGTCACCATCTCATACTAGCCATCCATCACTATTCTGGTTATATTGATGTGATACATATTGAAAGGCACACAATTACTACTACCTATTTTCTCAAATTTAGAAGACAATTTTTTGAAAGAGTTTTCCCCCTATATATCAGCATTTTAAGCCAAGGTACATAAAGTAACTAGAAAACATAATACAGAAACCCTTCCCAAAATAGTACTCACTGATACAGCAGTTTAAAAGTAAAAAGGGAAGTGCTGTAGGCAAATTAAAGCTGCTTCCATTTTGTATCAGAACTACACATCTAGTTTTAGCCTCAAAACATGCAACTATGCTTTAACCCTTAAGGAACTGATTTATTAATTTATTAGACTTTTGGAATAACTAAATAACTTGTCAAAGGCTTTATACTTCCACACAAAGGAGCATGGCGAAGGGCAAACAACAAACACTGTTATTAAACATAAGTAAAACATGCAGTGATGCTCTCCTATTTCCTACCCTTTTCCTGCAAGAAACTTGCAATCATTTCATGTTCCCTGATGGAGAGCAGTAACATAAATGGTATTAAAGAAATAAAATCTAATATTGTCACCACCAAGAATTTGTTTAATACAATCATAATGCCAATAATTCCCCATGCCTTCCTCACTTCTGTAGAACCTACAGTCTGGATTAAATCCAATACAAGACCAAGGATGGCACTGATTTCTACTAAAAGCTCCATAAAGCTTTTTGTGTTGACTTAATTATTATCAAAACGCTTTGGCAGCTGCTGATGTTTCATGTTCTTGTGTTTTTGCCTTTATTGTATGTGTGCATATGTATTTGGAAAGTTTATTGAGCTCTAAATGATGGTTAACAGATTTTACTATCACATGGAGACACCATTAAAAACTTTGTCCAGGAGAGTTTTAAAACGAGAACATGGTCTCTGAAGTTACTCATACCTGCACTGCTTTATCTGTCTGGGCAGTCTCATTGATCTAAAATGCTTGCAGAGGTGAGATTCTAAATAGCTCTTTTATTACATGTATATAACTAACAGCACTTTTAATTCAGAAATTATCAAATTCTTCACAGGGTCCTCTTGGTTTCCACATTAATTTTGGAGGCATACAAGTGACCTACACAATTGTATTTTCACCCTTCGAGATCCCTGAATCAAAGAGGTAAGCCTCGTAGTTGCACACTAAGCATGAGGTGAAAAGGGCAAAATTCCCCATCCAAAGGTGAACCACGGAATCAGCTGTGTTGGAAAAGACATCTGAAATCATGGAATCCAACGTAAAACCGAACACCACCTTGTTAAATAGGCCATGGCATCAAGTGCCACGTCCAGTCTTTCCTTGAACACTTTCCGGGATGGTGACTCCACCACCTCCCTGGGCAGCCCATGCCAATGTCTCATCACCCTTCCAGTGAAGGAATCCCTCCTAATGCATAACCTGAACCTCCCCTGACGCAGTTTATAGTGCGTCCTCTTGTCCCGAAAACAAACAAAAGAGGCAGCAGAGGAACTGGAAAGGAAATTTCAGCTGAACTTTTCCTTTGAAGCCTTGTGCAAAGCACTGACACAGCCGGCAGCCGCGCTGAGCCCCTCACGCCAGATGCACGCCCTGGGGTGTGCGGGTCATGGCAGAACAGCCCCCACCGCTCCCTTATGCCCTCGGGCACCGCGGGCCCCGAGCGCCGGGCCGCTCCCTGTTCCACCTCCTTCTAGACCCGGGGGAGAAACAACCTCGACTGCGGATCAGACACGCTGTTTCAACACCGAATCAGGGCCGGGCAGGCGGGAACCGGCGGGGCCGCGCTGTCGGTACCTTTCAGAGCCAGCAAATGCTCCTGCTTTGGCTGGTTGACATCCATGGCCGTCAGCCCGCGTGATGGCCGGCAGAGCGGGAGGAGTCGCACAGACTGCGGCGGCAGCAGGCGCGTCCGTCCCAGGCTGCAGCGCGGCGCTAGGGACTACAGCTCCCAATGCGCCGCAGGAGGTTCGGGTGCGGCACCGCCTTCTCCTCCCGTCAGGGCCTCTGCGGAGTACGGTGGGAGTCGTAGTTCAGCAGGTCTGTAGTTTTACAGTCCTGCAGGGCGGCGCCTGCGCGCGCCGCGGTGGTGCCTGAGGCGGCGGCGGCGGCTCCCCGCTCCTT